TCATGAGCTTGAGTCAATCAATCAATCAATCAATAGACCTTTATTGGCATATAATGAGCTTGAGTCTATTTCTGTGTTCTGAAGCATCACAAAATATTGTGGTTCCTTAACAGAAGCACAATATGGCTTTCTTTTTGTTGACAATTTATTTCTTTTGTATTTCCCGACACCTTACCTGTATAATAACTGAGGAGTATGACGAGAAATACGGCCCTGGTCATGGTGAAAGGCAAAAGGAGTCCAAATCTGTGGCGTTATCTACCTGAAGCCCTCTCCTTTCTTTCTTAAATCCTCCAGGATCAGACCAGTGGTTCCTCATGCAAATTTGTCCTTGACCTGGCTGAAAATACTACACCTCCTCTGTAGGGATGATCCTGTGTAGCCAAGCCAATGACTAAGGAACGTATTTGCATAAAGAAAACTTTTTTTAAAAAAGGAAGAGAAAAGGTCCCTTGCTTTGTCCAGGATAAAAATGAGGCTGTAGTGGCATAATTCGCAGTGATAAAGACTAAGAAGGGTAACTGGGAGTAGTATGATGGGGATAGATGAATCTGCAGAGGAGAAATAGGAGGGGATCGGGTAAAACTTTTCCAATCCCATATCCAAAAAGCTGAAAAGGGACAACTGACGAAGAGGAGTAGAATTTTCTCTAGCAAATTTCTCCAGCAGTTCCCCTGCCTCCAGTGAGAAGGGATCAGGTCTTTTCCCCATCAATGATCTTTCTCATGTCTGATAAGTATGTGTGTCTATTGAGTGGAGTCTCTGCTTCTATCCCTCTCCAGTTTCAGGGACAGGTGGGGTGGAGGAACAAACCTAGGACATTACCTACATTCAGTCCTGGTCTCTAAAACCCTTCTGACTCACCACCAGCATGTGCCTTTGCCTCTCTCCCATGCAGGGCAGGATACCTACTGAAAGGCTTTGTATATACCCTTCTTTCCTGCCTGCCCACCAGTATCAGCAAACAAAACCACTGCCTGGTGAGCACAGCCCCAGAGAATGAAATACGGTTATGGAAATACAGAATCCATGCTTGCACATTATTAGGAAGCCCTTCCAACATCCCTGTTACACACATGTCTGCTGAGTCATCTCCCCCTGATGCCCCTCTTGCTTTCCCCTCCCTGGGAAACTGGAAGGTTTCTCACAAATGTGTGCAATAACTCCATGGCAATTCAGAGCATTTATTGTATTTGAAAATGGGCATGATTTAACCTGAATCATATTTCTTTTTGACTGCATGTTGTCAGACCTCCTACATTTTCAAGTAAGCCTTGTCCATGGCTCTTATGACAGGCACTGATCAAATTTAACTTGAAATGCTTCTAAATTCTTCACTCTAGGGAGAAACAGTGAAAGTTTTTGTCTCAGTTCCCTCCACATCCCGTTCAATATGATACAGAAACTTCAACTTCTCCAAAAACCTGCAGCAAGAACGTTAAGAGCATTAATCTGCTATCCCTGTGCTGCAAGATCTCCAGTGGTTCACAGTCTGTTTTCCAAAGTGCTACTTTTGACCAATGAAATCATAAATAGTTTCAACCCCATTTAAAGCATTGGTCTTCAACCATACCATATCTGGAGCCCATCTTCAACTCCCAGGTGGCAATATGAGACCCACTGAACTTCAAGCATATGACAGGGATGACATGAAATCACTGTTACGTGGCAGGGAGAGAGAGAACCAGACTTATGACCTCACCAGTACCAAGGCCAGGATCATGGGCACCTGACCAGAGACCAAGGAACAAGGCACAGTAGCCAAGCACCAGGAGGTATACTCAACAACCCAAGGATCAAAGTCAAGGAGGAACCCTCACCTCCACTGAGTCACCTCATCTCATCCTATTTGTGTTCTGCATTTGGAGGTATATGCTGTTTTCCAGCTGTTGAGAATCAGATACATAATCAAATGTTTGAAACAATCTCCTAAATCAGGAGATTAGGAACTTTTTGGACTGGTGTCTCCAGCCCAATAGGAGTTGATGGATCTTGCTTTCTGTTGGTTGGATAATCATGTTGCTTGGCTCTGCCCACTGATGGTGTAAATGATATGGCACACAGTTCTGTCTTGCATTGATACTGAAGCACAAAAGAGAAGGGAATAAGTGGGATTGTCATAAGGTTTCTCTGAAGAGGTCAGATCCTAAATTTGGTCTCACTTCAAAGCGATCAGTTTTCTTTGCTTCAGTGCAAGCACCTGCTAAACTCAGGGCCTTGAAAGGGAAGGGAAAAGGTCTTTGTCTCAGTTCCCCTTGTAAATGTGTCACTGTTGAGTAACCATAGACACCATCAATGCACCACAGTAGTAATCAGCTTCATCTTCAACCTGGATGCTAGCAATGGTCAAGTAGCAAGTGGCAGGAGTTGTGCTCATGTAATTCTGCCCACTATGGAGAAACTGGAACAAAAGGTTTCTTTACAGCCAGGACAGCAAACTTTGGAAGGCAAGAGAATGCAAAATATTTTTTAAAAATAATTACTGCATAGTTCAAGAGGAGAGTTGAACCTCAACGGCTGGATCCAATGAATTGCCATGATGAGGCAACCTCCAGATAGCCCAGGTCTATATGTGTATTGTAATAGTCTATGAATCGTTAGCATCAGAAACATACAAAGCTGAATACAAATATTATTTCAAGTTCAAAAAACGTGTATCTATTTATAATATGTTCCTTATCCACCTCTCAGGGCTGTTGTGAGGCTAAAATGCTGGATGGGTATGACAAGAAC